CTCTGCCCCTCTGCCCCTCTGCCCCTCTGCCCCTCTGCCCCTCTGCCTCTGCCCTGCAGCTGCCCTGCCGAGGCCTCTAGGCTCTGCTGTGTGACTGATGATGGGGCAGAGCTCCTGACACCTTTCAGGACTCAACAGCTTTTAGCTCTTTGCTGTCTCTGGTGTTACCTTGAGTCTGTGATGTTTGCATTTCTCTGTGGTTACTGAAATTAAAGGAGCTGAAAGTTTTAACATAGACATCTTCATCATCTGAATTTTTTTTCTATTTTAAACTGTTTGTTTCTTCCAGCATGCCATTTAAAGCTTCCATGCTGTTGTAATTGACATGCAAATGTGCAAGTATAATTCTCCTTGTTTGGGCCTCTGTGCTAGGCTTACACTTTTGTGGGTGAAATCACTGTAGATACTAAGCCAATTCCTAAGAGAAGGAATGACCCATTATTTTCTGGCATTAGTGAATTTGTCAATCTAGTTCTTCAGCTTTCATAACCGAATGTGGGAGCTTGGTGGGTGGCTTCCAGGAGTGAGTAAGGAGGTAGCGTGAGGCCCAGATTGCCTAAATGAAGTTCATACTGAAGCATATAACCCAGTGCACAGGAACTAAAAGGATGAGCGTCAGGATCAAACACCCAGAACTGAGCCCTCTGTCATTGACTGTGATTGTTGCAGTGCTTAGCATTTCTGAGCCTTAGCCTTCTGGGTTTGTGACATTAAGACAATCTTATTTCCTAACTGATGGTGCTACATCTGTGTGGTGATTAAACAACACGTGAAAACATTTAACAGAGACCTTGAGAAAATATAAGAAATTAATGTTGTTATGATATTTCCCACGATACTGAACTCAACTCCTGCTCTTCACATACAGCCTAGTGGTTAGGTTTAGTTGTATTGAGCCGCTCTGTGTAAACTTTCAAATCAGGAAGTACATGGTCTACCTTCTACAGAAGGTCAGTAGCTCCAGCATGAGTCAGAGGGAAGGAGGGCACATCTAAGAACACATACAGCTGGATTATACTAATATGCCCAATGTTAGAGAGTTTTAAAGGAAAAAGTACAGGACAACATCAAGAAGAACTTTGGTGTTCTATTTATCTTCTTATATCTGAAATGTATTTCTGAGAAACTGAAGAAAAGCCATTATTTTTATATGTATCTGACTGCCTTTGATGGTATTTTATAACCTACAGTCTTCAGTGTTCTGTGATAATATGAGACTGTGAAACTAAAACAGAGGTCAAGAGGTAGACACCAGCATCTGGATTTCCTCTCATTAGAATGACATAGGGTCACCACACTTCAGAGTCAGAGCCTTCAGTGGCCTCTGTGTCACAGGAGATGTGCCATACATGTTCGTTGATTTGGGTTTTAGTAACAACAAAAGTAGCAGACCTTTGAAGAAGTAGCTTGCCTTCAATTTACCTCCAAAACTTCTTACTGCTTAAATCCGTTTGTGTATTTGCAGGGTGTAGGTAAGAACAAGATCGTGGACCGGTTCCTTCACCTGCTCAACAGACCCCGAGAATACATCCAGCTGCACAGGTAGGAGACTGTCCACGAGGCCTTTGAGCTCTGACTAAATTAGTCATCTCTCCTATGAATTAAACAGACTCTCTTACAAGCCTGCTTTATAAACCAGCTTCCTTCCCATTCCTCCTGCTCATAGCTATCCTTTCCTTAAAACGTCGTGAGGGGCAAAGACTGGCTCAGGGCTAAGAGCACCAGCTGCTCTTACAGAGGACCCAGGTTTGGTTCCCAGCACCCACATGGTGGCTCTTGAACCACTTGTAGCTCCGGTTCCAGAGGGTTTAATACCTTTTTGTGGCCTCTTCACGTGTGTGGTACCCATGCTCAGGTACACACATAGACATAAGTAAATCTTTTTTAAAAGTTGTTGAATGATGAATACCTTATATACACAAGTTAATAGGTGCTTTGTGCACAAAGAGATACAGCAGGTCTCAACAACATCAAGGCACTCCAGTTGGAAGCCATGTGGAGGCCAAGTCCCTGCTCCTACTCAGAAGCTAAGCTGGCTGACAGGGAGAAGCTATGAGCTTTGTGGGCTCCAGTGTGGGATAAGGAACATAGATTATGGAAAGGACATAGTATCTCTTGCCTTTCTTAAGGTAACGTGGGGATGATTTAGTTTTGTGTGGTTGGAATAGTGGTTCAGGGATAACTTTTAAGCAAATGAGATTTCTCAACATGAGTTGTTTAAGCTTTAGCAGTGGACTGGTTCTCATTTTAGAAACCAAATGCAGGCAGCAGATCTACTAGAAACTAAATACTGGAGCAAATCAGGACACAAGTGATATATAGATATATAGATACACATACACACCAAGTATTGAGCAGTTTAAACTTAGTGTCGAGTATTATTTTGATCCCAGTAGATAACAAATGCTGTCTTGGAAAGAACACTGGACTGTTCTAAAAGAATGAGTATCTGGTTTAAGTTCTTTGCTAAATAATTATGAGTTCCTGAGAGAAATTTTTAAAATAAAAACAGTTAGCAGGTCAAAGGTCAAAGTGAAAAGTCCTAAAGGAAAGTTGAGATATGATAAAAAAAAAACAAATAATAAAAACAAAGCAAACCAAAACAAACATTCCGTCTTAGAGTTCATGCCCTTGCTGAGCCCTAGCCCAGGAAGAGCATTAGACCTGGACAGACCCACAGACCTGGGAACAGCACTACCCTTAGGAATCTGTGAGCAGCCACAGTCACCTGGGCTGCTGTAGGTGCTGTGGTGGGTAGACATTAGCCTGTGCAGCCTATGCTTTAGAAGTAGCATTTTTCATCCTTTCAAGAGCCACTCGGGACTATCCTGAGGTTAACAAGAAATGTGCAGAATACAGGCTTGCTGCTGGTGGAGGTGGCGCACACCTGTAACCCCAGTACTGAGGAGGCTGAGACAGAAGGACTGAGTCTGAAGAGCAGCTTGCTCTGTATAATGACCCCAGCCAGGGGAAAGGATAGAGGGATAAAAAGGAAAAGGGGAAGAACCTAGCTCATCAGTTATATAATTTTAGAGCTTCTTTCTCATGCAAGATAACATTAAAAATAAAAAAAAAGATATTTTTGGAGGCAGTGAGGAATTTGGGACATAGAAAGAAGCAACAAAATGAATAAATATGAAATATGCACTTGAGATGGTGGAATTCACACAGAGTGATTATAAAATCACCACCATAAATACTTTCACATATTCTAAAAGGAAACTGAGAAGCAAAACAAGACAGTAATTAGGAGTTCTAGACCCAGAATGACAACACTGAAAAAGAGCAATATAATATCAACACTAAAGTCTCAAAGGTGGGGACGTAGTAGAGCAGGAATATATTTGAAGAGGTAGCAGCAAGAAATTTTCTGAGGGACTGGAGAGATGGCTCAGCAGTTAAGAGCACTGACTGCTCTTCCAGAGGCCCTGAGTTCAATTCCCAGCAACCATATGGTGGCTCACAACCATCTGTAATGGAATCTGATGCCCTCTTCTGGTGTGTCTGAAGATAGCAACAGTGTACTCATATACATACAATAAATAAATAAATCTTTAAAAAAAATTCTGAAATTGACATAGTAATATGAGATCATCAATAGCCCAGTGAATGGCAAAGGATGCCACATCATAACCAGATGGCTGAAAACCAAGCAAGAAAAGGCACATTGCACGTAGGGAACAATAGTAAAAATGACTGTTCACTTCTTATGAGCAATAAATATGGAACAATTCAATCAAATGGTTGCTTTACATTAAATGGAGAAAGGTTCGAATAGCACATTAAGAAAAATGCTCTTTCATGTAAAGGAAAAATACATTTTTAGAGCAGCACACACACACACATGCAAACACATCCAACAACTTATAAAAGGACAGTATGGGGCTGTGGGGGATGACTCAGTGATTATAGTATTTGCCATACAAGCATGAGAAGCAGAGTTAGGAGCCCCAGATTCCCAGCAGCCACTTAAATGCCAGATATGGTAGCCTATCTGTAATTCCAGCCCTTGAAAGTCAGACACAAACGAGGCCCAGAGCAAGCTGCCAAGCAAACTAGCCATGTTGGTAAATTCTCAGCTCAGTTAAGATACCCTGCCTCAGTCAGATGGAGAGTAACCTAGGAAGACTACCAGCATCAACCGTGGGCCTCCTCCAGCACATGTACACACACATGTACCCACACAGCTGTAAACATGCACACATAAATATACACTAAAGGGATGATATGTAGTGACCATACGGGTGTAATCCCAGGAATATAAGGTAAATAATGGCCTCTCGTTTATTCCTGTTTGTGCTTGTTATTATCTTTGTTGTTTGGTGTTTGTTTTGTTTGGGACAGGTGGGTCTATGTGGCCCCAGCTGTCCTGGGGCTGGCTGTGTTATCAGGCTGATCTTGAAGTCAGAGATCTGCCCACCTCTTCCTCCCAGTGCATGGATTAAAGATATACACCACCATACCCAGCTAACAATCTTGTTCTACTCAAAGAAATTACTATTGTGTCTTTCTTTCATTTTACTAATTGCTGAGTTTGTCTCTATTACTTTGTTCTTGTATTTCCTTTGGACTTGATCTGTTTGTTTTTAAACTTCTAAATGCCTACGTCATTTAGTTTTCAGCCTTTAAATTGTAACATGTGTATTTAAGATTCTGAGTGTGTTTGGATCTTAAGTCCTTCCCCTCTAAGTGACAGCATAGACATAGTATTCATGATGTTTCTCTCTGTCTGGTATTTCAATATCTTTAGTGAAGAAGTTGGTACTCAGGGTGCTTTCAAAATCTTAGAGACTTAGAGCTAGCATTCCTTGCTCTCTGTCTAGAGTGCCTTTAGTATGAACATTTTGTTATGAAGTAACAAGTGACCCTAAAAATGGTGACACCTTCTGCCAGTACATAATCTGTGCTAATCCTGACACTGGCCACATAAATGTGTAGAGATAGTTTCTACAAGGAATTTTCTAAACTCAAAATAATAAAAATGTCAAAGCTGAAGTTTATATTTTATGACACCTATTGCTATATAATTGATAATAGTGTTGTAAACAAAATAGCTATTCATTTTATTAGGGCCTAGATATCTCTACTCAATCATATTAAATATTTACCTGACTACGTACAGTGGAAGACAAAATGGTTTAATTTAAAATATAAATATTATAAAGTTCTCACTAATTAGACTGCTATTCTCACAAATTTCAACATAGGGATTTTCCCCTTACCTACAACATTAGGGCTACATTTCCCATAGAATTTAATTATTCAGTTGCTTTAAGTGGAACATGTTTAAAGGACCTAAAACTAACTGTCTGAAAGAATGTATAGGACTTGTCTGGTGTGTAGATGATCACTTAATGTCTCTGCTGTGTCTGTTGTGGAATCCTTCCAGTGGATTGCTGAGGGTTGCCCTGTAATCAGTTCCTCCCAGTTTGGTTTATGGATGTCATTTGAAGAGATTAGTTACAAGAGCCACTCAGAGCAGTCCTGATAAGTAGAGCACACAGTGCAGTAGTCAGGGTGCTGCGGAGTGTGCCTATGAGCTTAGGTTATAATGATCACAGTGCATATGATGAACAGGCTAGGCAACTCATGTCTGTTGTTAAAATCAAGATGCCTGAAGAGTGTGGCTTAAGAGATTTAGAAGACTGATAGATGTGATTATGGTTAATTGTATACATTTCCAATGGAAGAGTCTATAGGAGTCATATTTATACCAAGACTTGTAAATGAATTGCTCAATTTTATGACTTATGTTCATTTGATGTGAAAGAGGACACCTGCATATTTAACTTCTATAGTTCTTGAATAAAAGTACATCTTTATTAAAATCAGGATTGTCTGACTTTAAGTAGGCTGAGCTACTAGATTGTATTTCATTTGATGCTCTTCAGATACAAAGATGAAAGCACAAGTCCACATTTCTGTGATTTCTACTCTTGGCTATTTTCTTCAGCAGTATCCTAAGAAATAGAGATGTTAGGGGCTAGAGAGATGGCTCAGCAGTTGGGAGCACTGACTGCTCTTCCTGAGGTCCTGGGTTCTGTTCCCAGCAACTACATGGTGGCTCACAACCATCTGTAATGGGATCTGATGCTATCTTCTGATGTGTCTGAAGACAACAACAGTGTACCCACATATATGAAATAAATAAATAAATCTTTTAAAAGAAAGGAGGGAGGGAGGGAGGGAGGGAGAGAGGAAGAAAGAGAAAGAGAGAGAGGGAGGGAGGGAGGGAGGGAGGGAGAGAGAGAGAGAGAGAGAGAGAGAGAGAGAGAGAGAGAGAGAGAGAGAGAGATGTTGTTGTGGTTCCTAGTACAGCTCTAACTTTCTATTTCAGCTGGCCTGTCTCTACTTATGATCAGCTTACTCCAGACTAAATGAGTCCATGTCCTGCTCACAAGTTTTGAACTTGAACTTTTTTTTGTTTCTTCATTCAGAGTTTGGTTGATTGGTAACTTCTTTCATCTTTTCTTATGTTTTAGATTGTGTACAACATTTGCTCCTTTGAACGCCCACAGTAGGGAATTGTACCACTGGATAGA